CACACACACACATATATATATATATATATATATATATATATATATATATATATATTTTAGATGGATTCTCACTTTGTAGCCCAAGCTAGAGTGCAGTGGCACAATCTTGGCTCACTGCAGGGCTCAAGCAATTCTCATGCCTCAACCTCCCAAGTAGCTGGGACACACCACCACGCCTAGCTAATTTTTTGTATTTTAGTAGAGATGGGGTTTCACCATATTGCCCAGGGTGATCTGCAACTCCTGAGCTCAGATGATCCTCCCGCCTTGGCCCTACCAGAGTGCTGGGATTACAGGCATGAGCCATTATGTCTGGCCAGAATCAGTAAATATATTGCCTCTTAAGTCTTTTCCCAATCAGAGGTCCCTAATTAGAGTGATTAATTCCAGTTTTTGAGCAGAAGTCTGAGGAGGTAAATCTTTGGCCTCAATAACTTCTTGTTGGCTAACCACAGCATAACCTGCCTTCTTTATTCTCTCAGGAATAAAGCTGCTCCCATCAGCAAACCATTTAACATCAGGGTTAGGCAGGGGCTTATATTTAAGGTTAGGCCTGCTAAAGTAGGTCTATTCCACAGTTTCCACCGTTCTTGGGACATGGAGTCCAGCAACAGGGTAGCAGGATTTAAAACCTGACATACTTTAAGGGTAAACTCTTAGGTGTAGCGTGGAAGGGTCTACTATTTAAGCAACTGACTCTCTGTTAGCCATTAATGTCCTTTTGCTCTAGGAACTAATGTACTTGATTGAGTGAGAGAAGTGATGACATCTAATTTTTGTCCCAAGACAGATTTCCTGGCTTCTTCTACCAATAGAGTGGTGGTGGCCACAGCTCACAAGCATCCTGGCCATCTGGCCACCACCTGGTCTAGCTGTTCAGAGAAATAAGCCCTGGTCTAGGATTATTCCCTAGCCTTTGAGTGAGAACACCCAAAAGCTGTCCCTTGTTTTTCGGCCATGTAGATGGTGAAAGGTTTTCTATGTTTGGGAGTCACAAGGCAGAGTCCGTTCCCAGATTTTCGTTTAAGGTTAGGAATGCCTGTTGGCAGCTTCCATCCCAGTTCAAAGGCTCATGATCATTCCCTTTCAGAGCTTCATAGAGTGGTTTTGCTGTGACCCCATGCCAGGGAATCCAGATACAGCAGAATACAGCCATTCCCAAAAAGGTTCTTAACTGTTTCTTAGTCTGATGGCGCTAGAGTGCCAGAATGGTATTCCTGGGCTACTGTCCTTATCCCAGGAATGACCATGTATCCCAAGTATTTAACCTTTGGAACAGAAATCTGGGCCTTGTGGGGGAATAACCGCTTCCCTTGTTTTCCCAAGAAATTAAGGACCTGAATTATATTTTTATCAGAATCATCAGGCCTGGAAATTAATAGGTCATCCACATATTATAGGAGGGATCCGTTCACTAAATGTAGTTCCCTGAATTCTTTTGCCAATGCATTCCCAAAGAGATGAGGACTGACCCTAAAGCTTTGGGAAAGGACATTCCAGGTAAACAGAGATGTAGCATGACCATCTGGATCAGTCCATTCAAAAGCTAAAATATGCTGGGAGTCTGGATGCAAAGGTATACAAAGGAAAGCTTCCTTTAAGTCTCATACCATGAATCAATTAGCATCTTCAGGGACTTAGGTCAATATTGTATAAGGGTTGGGAACTACTGGGTGGACTAAAACTAATGCCTCACTAACTCCCTTCAGATCCCGAAGAAACCTATATCCCTCACCTGGTTTCTTTGCAGGCAGAATGGTAGTATTACATGGAGACTGACAGGGTTGTAATAGTCCTCACTTTAGAAACTTTTCTATCAGGGGCCCTCTTTTTGCTTCAGGTCTCAAAGGATTTTTTTTTTCATGGATAAAACATTAACAGCTCCATGAGAAACTTCTTGTCCCAAACAGAAGAGTCTACTTGAGAAGTAATACATAATGGAAGGAAGGTCTTTTCTTTATCTGTATTAAGTCAAGCACTTAGAGCTAGAAGTGGCGCCCCTTCCCAGCCTGTTGCCTTTTTGTGAGGCTTTCCAAATTGAACTGTGGACTGTAATTGGAAAGGTATCTTCCCAATAAAGGAATAGCACACTCAGACATAAGATAGAACCTGTGGGAAAACATATAGTCTCCCACAGTGCAACCAAGGGGATGGCTGAATCTCCTAATTTTTGGCTGGATATCAATCTTGTACCTTGTACAAGGTACAAGAGTTACCCAAGGCTCCTCTGTGGAGATGGTAAGGTGTCCAGTGGGAGCCATGGGGAACCTCAGGTCCAGTCAGTTCTCTGTTGTCTTGGCCATTACAGGTTTGGTTGGCCCAGGTTCCCCTTGGAGCCTGAGGCAGTCCCTTTTCCAATGGCCCTCTTGCTTATGGTAGGCATACTGATTCTGGCCTAGGGGCCAGCAAGTCCAGGGGCCGTCCTCTGGGCAGCCCAGACACCAATCCTGCAACAATTCCTTTGTGATGCATAACCTTAAGGCAGCAGGTAGTTTAAGGCAGCCACTAACAACTGGGCTTTCTGGCTTTTTCTTTTGGTTTTCTCCACTTCCTCTGCTCTGTCCCTGTTGTTGTAAACCCCACTGGCCATGTACAAGAGTTGACTCATAGGAGTTTGAGGTCCCATTTCTGCCTTTTGTAACTTCCTCCTAATGCCAAGGGTGTATTAAGTAATAAAACGCATATCCAGGAGAGCTCACCTTTCCTGGGAGTTTGGGTCTACATTAGTATATTTTCTGCATGTCTCAACCAAACAGCCCTGAAACAGAGTGAGATTTTTGTCCTTCTTCTGAGTTAACTTCTCTAACCTTGTCGTAATTAACTGGCTTAACCACACATTTTTTTCATACCTCCTGTTAAACAAGTTGCCATGTGATTTCTGTGTTCAAGATCTTGGGAACCCCTCCGGTAATCCCATTGAGGGACCAGATCCAGAGCTGCATCTCCCCTCACATGATAAATGGCGTGGCCTTAGTTACCAGTTGCCACTCCATTTGCATATTCATGAGCAGTACCCAGAATCCTTTGTTTCTCCTTTACAGTATAGCAGATAGACAATAATAATTGCAAGTCATGCCAAGTTAAGTCAAAGAACATGATCAACTGAGCAAACTTCTCTGTAAACTTCCCTGGATCCTCTGAAAATCAACCAAACTTCTCCTTGCATAAATCCAAATCAGACATAGAAAAAGGCAACTGACCAAGCACAGTGGCTCACACCTGTAATCCTAGTACTTTGGAAGGCCGGGACAGGTGGATCACTCTCAAAGTCTGAGCCCAGGACTTCGAGACCAGAGTCAGGCATTCCAGGATCAGGACAACAGGGGACCTCTCAAAATTAGAAAAGAAGGCGTTAAAAGCAAGCAAGGAAAGTGTCTTGCCTTACATTGAACAGAAACAATTGCCCAAAAAGCTAAAGGAAAGACCACAAACACAACAACAAAATAAATAAAAAAGTAAAATATGGTGATTTTTAGAGACTAAAGAGAAAAAAGAAGGTCCAGGAGAAAGGGTGACAAGGACATACCAGGTGTACTACCATTCTGGACACTCACATGATGGGGACAATGAACTACCAAGCCAGAGGCTCAGTTCCCATTTCCTGGTTCACCCAAAAAGGTTGATATTGAGGGGGAATGCAGGGAAGACTTACCTTTGCGTAGAAGTCAAATGATGCCAATCTGTCTTAATTTGGGGTTTGGGTGAAGGTTTCCCTCAGGTTCCCTTGTCCTGTGAGTTGCCAGGAAAGATGATGGCTCTGAAAAGAGTCCTTGAGGTGGAACTCTACAGCACAACCTGCCCTAGAGTTACAGCTCCATAATGTTACAGTTCCACAACTCTGATCTGCACTGAGTCCCTTTGTCCCATTCACCTTATTTCCACTGTTTGTCCCATCTGGGTCAGCAGACTGATGCAGGCAAACCCCAAAATTAGAGCTCAGCTCAGGAGGGTCCTTGGCTTCACCCAGGAAGGAATTCAAGAGTGAACGGACAGTGAAAGAAAGCAAGTTTATTTGAGCAATGGTGTACAGCCAAAAGGGGAAGAGAGTTCCCAGAATTATATAAGATAACTTCCAAGTGATTGCCATGGCATTTGTAAGCTGTCATGGTGCTGGTAGGAGTGTCTTATGCAAATGCATTATAATTGCTAGTCCTACCTGGCCTTGGCCAGTTTCTTTGCTACATACCATTTAGACCCCCACCAGTGCTCAGAAAACAAGTTCTGCTGATCTCCTATCTCAAAACAAACCAAAACATTAGTTGTGAGAATATTCTAGAAAGACAAGTTGTTAAGATACTGTAAAGACTTAAACAGAAATGTAACATAACATATAAAGAATGAAATAAGAAATAGCAATGAAATATAGCAAAGACACTAAATCAGCGTAAGTTAAGAGTTAAATGAACCCAGAGAGCAAGTGATAAAGTCCTTTAAAAAGCACTATGACAGAAAGAATGGGGTATTCCTGGTGGAAGGCTGATCTCAAACTCCTAAGCTCATAGGTAATGTTTTGTTAGCTTTCCAGAAAGATTAAAAGATTATGCCAAAATATTCCCTTGAGAAGTGGCAGGTGTAAGAGGACTCTGGAAATCAGTAAGTAATCCAGCTTCAAAAAAAATAATTTTTAAAAAGGAGTCTCTTCTTGAGGAGAAATGGAGATCCAAAACAGATAGTTTTGGGCGCATCAGAGGCTCTGACTGTTCTGCATCTGCAGAGGCAGAATCCCAAGCAGTCTGGGCTCCGGTTGTCACTGAGGCCATTAAGCCATCTTTGAGCCCCTGCTGGGGGCCACACACAGCCTGAATCCTCTCAGGAGTGTATTGCCAAGCACTGGAGAGATTTAGTTTGGCTTTATTCTTATCATGATCATGTTTTATTAATTTATATTTTTCATTTCTCTGTAACATGAGGTCTATTTGTCATCCCTGAAATAACTTAAGCCAGATCTAGACTGTTTTCACATATCATGTAATATTTGATGTCATTAAGAAAAGCCATGCTTGCTTTGGCAGCACAAATTCTAAAACTGGAACAGTGCAGAGAAGATTAGCACATAGTCCCTGTACAAAGATGGCACACAGATTCATGAAGTGTAAAAAAGAAAGAAAATGGCAGGGGGCGGTGGCACACACCAGTAATCCCAGCACTTTGGGAGGCCAAGGAGGGCAGATCACGAGGCCAAGAGATTGATACCATTCCTGGCCAATATGGTGAAACCCCGTCTCTACTAAAAATAGAAAAATTACCTGGGCATGGTGGCGCGTGCCTGTAGTCCCAGCTACTCAAGAGGCTGAGGCAGGAGAATAGCTTAAACCTGGGAGGTGGAAGTTGCAGTGAGCCGAGATTGCGTCACTGCACCCTAGCCTGGTGACAGAGCAAGACTCCGTCTCAAAAAAACAAAAAGAGAAAAAATAAAGTAAGAAAAGAAAAAGCAGTAAACTGGTGCATTAACAGTTAACTGTAAGAGGTATCACTTTGAAGGCAATCCAATTTATTACCCTTCTACATATCAACCTTACCACCTGATTCTAAATTTAAATATTTGCTGTTTACCAACAGGAAATTACAACTCCATTTACATGTGTCTCTGGGGAAAAAGCATGCAAAGAATAGCCACATCTTTATATATGCCAGGCAAATATCTGGAACAAAAGAGAACAATTCTGGAATCCCACATGACATTAATATTTTAGGAGTAGAGCACAAGATCCCCAAAGAACAACAACAAAAATCCCAAAACTTGACATTATAGAAAAAGAAATTACACACACATCAATTTTGAGTAAGATAGAGGAATATATCTCAAACTACTTGTGAAAAATAAGTTGGTTTTTGTTTGTTTTAATTCATTTACCAATGTTTTTGTGAAATAAGAGTTTATTTCTAGAAAATAATAGTATTACAGTAAATTATAGAATGCAAAATACAAGCCTCATTTTTTAAAATTACTGATTCAGCATAAATAAAATCACTCTGAAATTGCAATAAAAGTTCCCAAACCCTTAGGCTCATTTCTATATTTACTTCATGGCAGACCAGATCATCAACCCACACTTGTTCAAGGACCATATTTTGAATATACTGAGATAAAACACCCAAAAATGGAAATCTGAAAACTCACATCCTTAATTCAGGGAGACTTTATTATATTACATGGGGTATGTGTGTGTGTGTGTGTGAGAGAGAGAGACTTAACATACAGGTAATTTAAGTTACAAAACATAGTAGTTAAACAAATTCCCAAGAATCTATCACCCAACTTAGGAAACGGAATCTGACCAATGCCTCAAAACATCTGTACTGACTTTTGCTGATCTCATTCCATCTTCTCCCTCGCCTGCCATGCCTCACCCCCTACAAGCTACACAATCATTCTCATGACTTTTTCCCCAATTATCTTGCTTATTTTTATTGTTTCACTAAATATGTATGCGTCACTAAACTATAGCTTATTTACTTGTGCTTGATTTTGAACATTGTAGAAATGGCATTGCACAGAGATGGCACACTTCCATGGTTTGCCTTTCATTCAGCGTTGTTCCTAAGAATTACCGGTATACATGGCTGCAGTTCATTACCTTTTCATTGCAGCATAGCAGTCTGTTGTGTGAAGACACCACAATTTAGTTATCCATTTTCTCAAAGGCAGGCATTATGTTATTCCCCCTTTTTCAAATTCTGTCTACAAATGTGATCATTTTTTCCCTCATTTTCTCTCTTCTCTGTGAAACTTAGTTAGTTATTGGATCTTCTGGGCTAAGCTCTGTTGATTTTTAAAATTTCTGCTATTATATTTCAAATTTTCCTTTTTTCAACATTTATTTTGGATTCAGGGGATTCATGTGCAGGTTTGTTACATGGGTATATTGCATGATGCTGAGGTTTGGGTTATAGATGATCGCTTTACCCAGGTAGTGACCATATTACCCAACAGGTAGAATTTTGAATTTTCTTTTTTTTTAAATATATATTTTATTGCACTTTAGGTTCTGGGGTACATGTGCAGAACATGCAGGATTGTTGCATAGGTACATACATGGCAATGTGGTTTGCTGCCTCCATCCCCCCATCACCCATATCTGGCATTTCTCTCCATGTTATCCCTCCCCAACTCCCTACCCCCCCATCCCTCCTCTAGCTCCCCCCAACAGACCCCAGTGTGTGATGCTTCCCTCCCTGTGTCCATGTGTTCTCATTGTTCAGCACCGCCTATGAGTGAGAACATGCAGTGTTTGATTTTCTGTTCTTGTGTCAGTTTGCTGAAAATGATAGTTTCCAGATTCATCTATGTCCCTACAAAGGACATGAACTCATCGTTTTTTATGGCTGCATAGTATTCCATGGTGTATATGTGCCACATTTTCCTTGTCCAGCCTATTATTGATGGGCATTTGGGTTGGTTCCAGGTCTTTGCTATTGTAAACAGTGCTGCAATGAACATACATGTCCATGTGTCTTTATAATAGAATGATTTATAATCCTTTGGATATATACCCAGTAATGGGATTGCTGGGTCAAATGGAATTTCTATTTCTAGGCTCTTGAGGAAGAGCCACACTGTCTTCCACAATGGTTGAACTAATTTACACTCCCACCAACAGTGTAAAAGTGTTCCTATTTCTCCGCATCCTCTCCAGCATCTGTTGTCTCCAGATTTTTTAATGATCACCATTCTAACTGGTGTGAGATGGTATCTCCATGTGGTTTTGATTTGCATTTCTCTAATGACCAGTGATGACGAGCATTTTTTCATATGTTTGTTGGCCTCATATATGTCTTCTTTTGAAAAGTGTCTGTTCATGTCCTTCACCCACTCTTAAATGGGTTTGTTTGTTTTTTTTTCTTGTAAATCTGTTTTATTTCTTTGTAGATTCTGGATATTAGCCCTTTGTCAGATGGGTAGATTGCAAAAATTTTTTCCCATTCTGTTGGTTGCCAGTTCACTCTAATGATTGTTTCTTTTGCTGTGCAGAAGCTCTGGAGTTTAATTAGATCCCATTTGTCTGTTTCAGCTTTTGTTGCCAATGCTTTTGGTGTTTTAGTCATCCTTGCCTATGCCTATGACCTGAATGGTTTTGCCTAGGTTTTCTTCTAGGGTTTTTATGGTGTTAGGCCATATGTTTAAGTCTTTAATCCATCTGGAGTTAATTTTAGTGTAAGGTGTCAGGAAGGGGCCCAGTTTCTGCTTTCTGCACATGACTAGCCAGTTTTCCTAACGCCATTTATTAAACAGGGAACCCTTTCCCCATTGCTTGTTTCTGTCATATTTGTCAAAGATTAGATGGTTGTAGATGTGTGGCATTGCCTCTGAGGCCTCTGTTCTGTTCCATTGGTCTATATCTCTGTTTTGGAACCAGTACCATGCTGTTTTGATTACTGTAGCCTTGCAGTATAGTTTGAAGTCAGGTAGCATGATTTCTCTAGCTTTGTTCTTTTTGCTTAGAATTGACTTGGCTATGTGGGCTCCCTTTTGGTTCCATAATATTTTGAATTTTCAAGGGCTTTTATTCTCTGTTTTTATTTTATTTATTTTTTAGACAGAGTCTTGCTCTGTCACCCAGGCTGGAGTGCAATGGTGTGATCTTGGCTCACTGCAACCTCCAGTTCCCAGGTTCAAGCAATTCCCCCACCTCAGCCTCCCAAGTAGCTGGAATTACAGGTGCATGCCATCATACCCAGCTAATTTTTGTATTTTTAGTAGATGCAAGGTTTCACCATGTTGGCCAGGCTGGTCTTGAACTCCTGACCTCAGGTAATTCACCCACCTCAGCCTCCCAAATTCCTGGGAGTACGGCCATGAGCCACCACGCCTGATTTGGATATTCCATTTTATAGCTTACTATTTCACAGTGTTCATAGATACCAGACTTACAAGGTTTAGGATTTTCTTGAAATTTTATTTTGCTTTCTGCAGTCTGTTTTCCTCTACTATGGCTGGTTGGGTGGTTGATTCACTTATGTCTCTGTCCTTCATGTTAGAAGCTCCCCTTTGATGTCAAGTGGTGCTAACCTATCTACTCAGACATAATAGTAAAGGAACCAAAATGGTAATTTAAAGTTTTGTGTGTATGGGTGAGGCTCATCTGCCAGTGGACTTCACAGTGGGCTGATCAGGTGGGGATCCAGCTCTTTCATTGGGGAAACTTTGTTAGTAGGTCTTTTCTCTTGCCCTCGTCAGTATCCCCAGAGGAATCTTCTATTCTTCCTGGAGGCTATAAGCTTGTCTGCCATCATGCTGGCTGCTGAGCAGGAAAAGCTAGCTGGAGGTTTTGCCATCCACAGGTAGATGTCCACTTAGTGCCCATTTTCAGTATAGTGCCCTATTCTCAACTGTACCTGACATCTCCAACACTAGCATCTCCTCATTTGAATGTCTCATCCCCTCCCACTATAGGGGAGATAGTTGCCCAGCTTGTGTAGAAATGGGATAGACATCTGGGAGTCTCACTGCTCCTCAGACAGATAGCCAAGATGTGTGTCCTGTTTTCAGCCCCACCCCTTGAAGCTTTGTCATTGTCTGGGGTAATACCCGAGGGTCATTGTGGCATGCCAAGGAAATCAAGGACATGGACACACACAAGGAGTGAGTTTCAGAGTGAAGGTTTAATAGGCAAAAGAAAGAGAAAGGAAAATAGCTCTCTCTTCTGCAAGAGAGAGGGGTGCCCGAATGGGACTTCTGGCTCATGGCAGAGTGCACAGGGTTTTATAGACAGGCTTGAGGAAGCGGTGTCTGATCTACATAGTGTCCCAAGATTGGTTGGACCAAGTGTGATGTTTATATAGCATGTGAGGAGTCCAGCCACCCTATCCTAATCTTCTTAGGCAAATGGAGTCTTTGCCTGACCAGGGCCATGTTGTCTGCTCCCAACTGCACACTTGGTTGGCAAGGAAAAGGGAAGACGGAGTCATCATTTTGAACAGACCCAGTCCCCAGGTAGCCCCTTTCCTATTGACACAACTGCCAGCATTCACCCATGCAAGCTTCTAGCCTGCTTTTCTACGTCTGCAGCTTGATTTTACTGACTGCTGTTTGTTAGAAATGAAAATGATTTGGAGGCTGCTTTTCATTAAAAGGAAAACCTTACCGAGGACTTCCTTACCTTTC